GACTATAGCTCAGGGAAAAAGTTCTGAGTTCAATTTTAGTAATAAATAAATAAATAATAAACATGGATGTTTTTGGAGCTGAGATTCAAAATTTTTGTGGTGCTGAGGATACAACCCAGTGCCTTGGGCACCTAAGGCAAGTGCTACTAAGCTATACCTCTAGCTGACCTTCCTATTTTTCTTTTTTTTTTTTTTCCATTAAGTTTATTAGTACTTTTTAGGTATACAGTTGTTACATTCATCATTGGGATCTTGTGCCTTTATATGATATATCTTGGTTCTTATTTTTCCCCATAATCCTGCCCTCCCTTCACCCCCTCCACCCTCCCCTTTTTCCAAAGACTTTATTTCCATTTTTTCCTTTTCTCATATTTTTTCTTTTCCCTTCTTTCCTTTCCCCTACCCTTGCCACTTCCCCTACTCCTTTAGCCCTTTTCTTCCTATTTCACATTATCAATTATACAACTTGAACCTTATTTACACTTTGTTTTTCACACGAGAAAAACTATTTGGTATTTAAACCTGTGTCCTATTTATTTCACTTAACAGTACGGCCTCAATATGCATCCAGTTAGCTATAAATGTCTCTAGTTTCTCTTTCTTTATGGCTGAGTAGTACTCCATTTTGTAGAAAAACCTCACTTTATCCAGTCTCCAGTTGATGGGCAACTGGACTGTTTCCAAGTTTTAGCTATTACAAACTGTGCTGCTAGAAACATGGGTGAGCATGTATCACTTTGCTATGATTCTTTCAAATCTTTTGGGACAGCTAGGTCAAATGGGACTTCCACCCTAGTTTTTTGAGGTATCTTCACATTGATTGCACCAGTCTGCACTCCCATCAACAATGAAGGGTTCCTTTCTCTCCACAACCCCGCCAGCATTTGTTTTTGGTCGATTCCTTGATAGCAGCCATTCTTTCTGAGGTGAGGTGGAATCTGTGTTGTTTTCATCTTCGTATCTCAAATGACCAGTGATGTTGAACATTTTTTCACATATTTGCTGTTTTAACTTGTTTGAGAAGTGTCTGTTCATTTCAGATGCCCATTTTTGAATCAGGTCTTTGTATTTGGGGGGTCTGATTTTTTTGAATTCTTTATATATTCTAGATAGTAGACCTTTGTCTGAGGAACAGCTGGTAAAAATTTTGGCCTTCCTATTTTTCAAGAGAAGCCCAAAAGCACAAAGTCAAATCTCCAAATTTGGTGGCACATTTTCTCTTACAAACCTCTTAAAAACGTTTCAGCTGAAAACGGTGGTCCCATCTATAATCCCAGCTCCTCAGGATACCGAGGCAGGAGGATCCAAAAATCATAACCACCCTGGGCAGTTCAGCAAGACCTTATCTCAAAATGGAGATGTAGCTCAGGAGTAGAGCATAGTATGTGCTCAAGGCCCTTAGTTCAATCCCTAGATTCCTTGATCAAAAAAAAAAAAGTGGGCTGGGGATTTAGCTCAGTGGTTCTGTGGCCTGCCTTGCAAGCGCAAGGACCCGAGTTCAATCCCCAGTAAAAAAAAAAAAAAAAAAGTTACCCTGAACACCTGTAATCCCAGTGCTTGGAGGCTGAGTTTGGGGACAGTCTAGGCCAGCCTAAATTACAGAGAGATACTGTCTCAAAAAACAAAAAACAAAAAGTTGAAATAATTCTGAATTATTATCAATATATGCTTATATAGATATGACTTTATACTTTTCACTTGCATCTCCAAAGAGGATATTCTCTTTCATTACCACACAATCTTTACATCAAGAAAATAATCCTAAGCCAGAGATGCAGCACAACAGCAGTGCACCTGTCTGGCAAACGCAGGGTCCCAGCACCAGGGGAAAAATAAAAAAAAAGGAAATAATCCTTAAATATCAACTAAAAGGGCTGATTATTCAAATTTCCCCTACAGTGAAAAAAAAATGTTTCTCATAGAAGTTTTCTTTTTTTATAGAAGTTTTTTTTTTTTTAACATGGTCATGCTTCATAGTGCAGGCTGGCCTTGAACGCACTATGTAGCCCTGGGTGGCCGTGAACTTGTGGTGATCCTCCTGTCTCAGCCTCCTGAGTGCTGGGATTACAGGTGTGTATCACCACAGCTGGCAGAAGTTATTTTTCTGAACCAGGACCCAGCATGGTTCACATGTTACATGCAGCTATCAAATCCCTGGCCCAAGAGCCCTTTTGTTCATGACACTAAGTTTTGAAAGCAAACTGGGGAAATTGTCTCATAAAATGTCCACTATTCTCTCCATCTTATCAGTTCCCCGATTTCCAGGCCTTCCATTTAAGGGAGCTCCAACCCCTGGAGCTCTCCTATTCCACCTGGAGCCCTCTCAGATGCCAAGTTAATGGGTTTATGGAGCCTCCTACTTTGTACAGAGAAGAAAATCACTGCCCTTCCTACTCTAGACAGCTGCTATTAGTTGAAACAGACATGAGAACTTTTTTTTTTGAGAAAAGGTCTTGCTATGTATTTGTAGTCCAGGCTGGCCCTGAACTCATGATGACCCTCCTACCTCACCCTCCCAAATTACTAAGATTACAGGCACGCAGCACCTTGCTCAGCGAGCACCACTGTTTTTGTCTCAATTTATCTATGACCTCACAGTGGACCAGAATCTTTTAATTGCACTTCTGCTCACTGTGCCTTTTTCCACAGAAAATCATCCTTTTAAAGCACAAATTAGATCATATTACTTCCATACTCCAATAGGTTTCCCATCAGTTAGAATAAAAGCTACTAAGCGCTGGGGATATACATCAGTGGTTCCAGCACCTGCTTTGCAAGTGCTGGGACCTCAGGCCTCAGGAATTTTGCAGTTGCTATTCCCTACAATAGGAAGTTCTTCCAGGTGGCTGGATGGCTTTTCCCTGCACAAGTTTGAGGCCCAACATCACCTCCTCAGAGGCTTTCCCTAGTCACACAATGAAACAGCTCTCCACCTTCAAAATCTTTCACTGATTATTTATATATACATTTTTTTGTTTGTTTTGTTTTTTTGTGGCAGAATCAAACTTGGGACCTTGCACTTTCAAGGAAGGTAGTGGCACCACTGAGCTAAATCCCTGGCCCATGATTATTGACCTATTCCCAGTTTTACTTTTCTCCCTAGCAACTGCATTACCTATTTCTTCATGTTAATTGTCTCCCTACACAAAAACGTATGCTCCAAGGCCAGGGATTTAGCTCAGTGGCACAGTGCCTGCCTCCCAAGTGCAACGTCCTGAGTTCGATACCCTGTACCAAAAAACAAAAGACAAAAAACAAAACAAAACAAAAAGAATGTATGTTCCATGTGGAGAAGGAAGATGCCTAGTTCTTGGACTCATGCTCAGGGCCTGCAAACGTTGCTCAAGAAATATATTATTGGGGGCAAAAAAAAAAAAGAGAAATATATTATTGGGCTGGGGCTCAATATATTAAATTATATTATATTAAAAAGAAATATATAATTGGAGCTCAGTGGCACTACGCCTGCCTAAGAGGACCTATCACAGCCAAAAAAAAAAAAAAGGCCAGGGATTTAGCTCAGTGGTACCTGCCTGCCTCACAATACAAGGTCCTGAATTGACCCCCCCGTATGGGGTGTATTTGTGTGTGTGTGTGTGTGTGTGTGTGAGAGAGAGAGAGAGAGAGAGAGAGAGAGAGAGAGCGCACGCACGTCTAATCACAGATACTCAGGAGAATGAGATAGGATTGCAATTTCCAGTCCAGCCTGAGCAAATGAACAGTTTGGCCAGATCTTGTCTAAAAAAAATTTTTTTAAAGAAACATAGGGCTGGGGATTTACCTCAGTGGTCTGCCTCGCAAGTACAAGGACCTGAGTTTGATCCCCACTACCAAAAAATAAATAAATAAAGCATAAATAAGTGCAGGGGACTTGAGAGGAATTAGATAAAATTTTACTAATAATGTTTTAAAAGCACAAATAGAGCTGGGGCTATTGATCAGTGTTCTGCAGAATGCTTACCTAGCGGGCAGGAACCCTCAAAAAAAGTACCGCAAAAACTAACGAAATCAATCACATTTTTCTTTTTGGTTTTTTGTTTGTTTTTGTTTTTCTGAGACGGGGTCTCACTATGTAGTTGAGACTGAACAGGAACTCACTATGTAGCCCAGGCTGGTCTCGAACTCACAGCGATCCTCCTGCCTCAGCCTCCTGAGTGCTGGGATTACAGGCATACGTCACCACGCCCGGCTTTTTTTTCTTTTTCTTTTTTTTTGGTATGGGGGATTGAACTCAGGATCTTTCACTTGTGAGACAGGAGCGATCCCTCAATCACATTTTGGAGATCTCATCCCCCTGGTTAACTGCCCTCAATATCCAAGCGGCATCTCCCGTTGGATCTGGGCACCCCTCCTCTTTCGCTACCTGCAGCCCCCTCGGACTCTCCCAGCCTCTGAAAGCTCGTTTGCGCGAACTTGCTCCAAAATGCCTCAAAATCCGTGTTCTCTCACTCCGCCCCGCCCCCCAGGAGCCACCAGAACGCCGAAACCGCGTCGGTTCGGATGGACTAACCCCCTCCCCCAGGAATGAATGAACCACCGCTCCCGGACCCACACCGAGCGCCCTCGGCCCCACTCGGGCCCCTCCCTCCTCGCTGCCGGAGCCCAAGTCCCCGGGTTCGAATCCTCCCGCGCTCTCAGGACCCTCACTCCCGGGTTCAAAGGCCTCAGACCCCCAGAACGCCGAAACCGCGTCGGTTCGGATGGACTAACCCCCTCCCCCAGGAATGAATGAACCACCGCTCCCGGACCCACACCGAGCGCCCTCGGCCCCACTCGGGCCCCTCCCTCCTCGCTGCCGGAGCCCAAGTCCCCGGGTTCGAATCCTCCCGCGCTCTCAGGACCCTCACTCCCGGGTTCAAAGGCCTCAGACCCCCCGCCCGGAAGCACAGAAATCACTTCTCCGCTCTTCAGATGAGACCTCTCGCGCCCCGGGGGCCCTGGACGCCTCCGACCATCGCCCCCTCAAGACCCCAGGCACCTCACGCCGCCCCGGCCCTGACCGTTTCTGAGCCTCCAATCCCCACAGACGGATCTGCCGGTCATACTGCGCCGCCTCTTCCTCGCTGATGCCGCCCCCGACCTCCTCCTTCTCCACCATGGCGCGGGCTCCAGCGGCCGCCGCTCTCGAGTCCGGTTAAAGCCAACAGCCTGCCGGCTCCCGCGCCTCCAAACTGCGCCTGTGCGGAAGGCGGGGCCGCGCCTGCGCAGAGCTTTCTCCTTGGAATTTGAGGCCACGTGGTCCTGCTAAGCCTCAAAGGCTCGCAGCTACTTCCAGTCATGTGAGGAAGGAGCCAATCAACCGCAGCAAAAGAAAAAAGGGAACGTTTTGCGCCATATTCATATGACACTATTAGTGACGCTTATTCAATTCTGTAAATGTCTATGGAGTTCCTGCTGAGATTCCAGCTGTGGAGGTGTGGCGAAATAAAGTGGTAAAAGCAATAGGCCAAGGTATACCCTTAAGTGGCTTACCTTCTATTGAGGGAAACGTAATTTATTTTAATAAAAAATAATGTCTGACGTGGTGGCGCATGCCTGTAATCCCGGCGTTCTGGAGGCCAAGGCAGGAATATCGCAAAGAGTTCAAGACCAGCCTGCACTACAAAACAATACTTTTCCTCAAAAAGGCAAAAAAAAAAAAAAAAAGAAAATCAATAAATACAGTTCCCCCTGGATATGAGTGGAGAATTGGACCCTCAGCCTCACAAATTTGCAGATCCTCAGTCCCTTATATAAAGCGATGGCTGGAGCTGAGAATTTAGCTCAGTGGTTCCTCTGCCTGCCTCACAAGTGTAAGGTCCCGAATTTGATCACCTGTACCAACAAAACAAACCAAAAACAAAAAACAATGGCTAGCTGGACGTGGTATGGCTCAGATTACATCAGGGGGGTGAAGCAGAAGGATCGCTATAAATTCAAGGCTGGCCGGACTACAGAGTGAGTATGAGGCCAGCCTGAACTACACAGCAAGACTCTCTCAAAAAAAGAAAAGAAAGAAAGAAAAAAAAAATGGCTACATCCCTCCTAAGCATGTATCATAACTATACAGAGAGGAGCACAAAATTTTTAGCAGGTTCTGGATGAAATAGCAGGAGGAGATGGGGAACCATTAAAATGTAGGACTTTGCCAGGTGTGTGTGGCACGTACTTATAATCCCAGCACTCCTGAGGCTGAGGCAGGAGGGTCACTACAAGTTCAAGGCCAGCCCTGCACTACATAGTGAGGCCCTGTCTCAAATTAATTAATTAATTGAGGACTCCTCTGCTTTGTAAATTCAAAAGTGGACAATAAGGAAGTCAGATAGTTAAAATGTTTACAAAACTTTTACTAGTGTGGAGGGGAAAAAATATGGGCAGGAATAGCAACACGCACCTATAAGAAGGGAGGAAGATTGCAAGTTTGACCCAGCCTGGGCAACTCAGTGATTTAGTGAGACAAATAAAAATAAAATGAGCCGGGCGCGGTGAGGTGACGCAAGCCTATAATCCCAGCACTCGGGCAGGCTGAGGCAGGAGGATCACTGTGAGTTTGAGACCAGCCTGGGCTACATAGTGAGTTCCAGGTCAGTCTCTACGTAATGAGTCCCTGTCTCAAAAAAATGAAACAAAACAAAAAAATAAAATTAAATAAATAAACTAAATGAAATGAAATAAAAGCTGGGAAGGGCTGGGGATTTAGCTCAATGGTGCTGCCTGCCTCACAAGCACAAGGTTCGGAGTTTGATCCCCTGTACAAAAAAAAAAAAAGCTGGGGAAGTGACTCAGTGTGAAGGCCTGGGTTCAATCATCAGTACCAAAAGGAAAATAAAAACCCAGGTGAAATGGTGCACACCTGAAATCCTAGCACTCACCACACAGTGAGACCCTGTCTCAAAATTAAACCAAGTAGGGTAGGACGGGCACGGTGGCACACACCTGTGATCCTGGCACTCTGGAGGCTGAGGCCAAAAGATTACTTCTGAGTTCATCAAGGCCAGCCCAAAGTAAAGTTTTTGTCTCAAAAAAAGAAACGAAAAAAAGAACCAAGGACCAAGGAAGTAAAAGTCTGTTTCCTAGCTGCATGAGGTTGTGGCTTCCCAGGGACATTGTGGGTCTTTCATCTAGAGGCCTCTATCTGTCTAGGGACTTCTAGCTAGCTGCCTGGTATCTGAGCAAAGAACTGGACAAGGCACACAGAGAAGGCAGACAGATTATGGAAGGCAAAAAAGTTTTTGTTCTACAGCATGAACATGGGCTGGTGAAAAGGCTTACAGCAGCAGCCCTGAGGATGAAGGGAAAGAGATTTTCAGTATCCAAAATTCCTGGATTGAAAAACAAAATATTTTGTTTCTGTTTTTTGGTACCAGGGATCAGACTTGGGTCCTTGTGCTTACAAGGACCCACTGAGCTAAATTACCAGCCTCCAAAAAAAATTTTTAACAGGATATTTAGCTCGGTGGTGTCATGCCTGCCTCATAACTGTAAGGTCCTGAGTTCAATCCCTGATAACAGGAAAAAAACTTGCATTGGGCAGGGGATTTAGCTCATTGGTTCAGCTGTCTGCCTTGCAAGCACAAGGACCCAAGTTCGATCCCCAGGTACATTGACCTTCTCCACACTCCGGAGGCAGAGGCAGGAGGATCACTGTGAGTTCAGACCAGCCTGGCCTACATAATGAGTTCCAGGACAGTCTCAGCTACATAGTGAGATTCTGTCTTAAAAAAACAAAACCTCCCTTGGCGGCTGGGGATATAGCTCAGTGGTGCCATGCCTGCCAGCCTCTCAAGCATAAGGTCTTAAATTCAATTTTTTGTGCCAACAAATCAAAACACCTCACTTGGCTTCCCTCCAGATATAAATGAAGGGTCTAGAACAGCGACTTTTGATCGGTTGCACATGCAAACGAAGGATTGAAAAGGGCCTCGTCTGATTGGTCCTGCTAACAGTGCCACATTCAAATGAAGGGTTGAAAATAATACTTTTCTGATTGGTCCTATGAACAGCACTAGACTCAAATGAAGGATTGAGAGAATCATTGATAGGTTCTGTGTACAGCGCTCAGGAGCTGTGGGGTCACTTTGCATTGAGAATGTCCTCTTCCTTTAGAAAACAATTTACTCAACCATTAGCCACAGGTTTTATGACTTTTGACACATTCCACCCAATTTGTGGTCTAGTTTGCCCCAACCTCACTTAGTGTGTCTGTCCCTTTACTGTACTGTCACCCTTTATGCTGTGCCATAAATCCTAATAAAGCCATTTTCAAATGGTCTGTGTTAAACCAGGCGTGGTGGCTCACACCTGTAATCCCAGCACTCAGGAGGCTGAGGCAGGAGGATCGCTGTGAGTTCGAGACCAGCCTGGGCTACATAGTGAGTTCCAGGTCAGTCTGAACTACATAGTGAAACCCTGTCTCAAAAAACAAAAAACAAACAAACAGTATGTGTTGCCCATTTGTATTGTGTATGTGTGCAAACACGTGTGTTTGTGTGTGTGTGTGTGTGATGCCAGGCATTGAACCCAGGGCCTCTGCACTGAGCTCCATCTGTAACTCTTTTTATTTATTTATTTTTAAATTTTTTATTTTTTTGGTCCTGGGGATCAAACTCAGGTCCTTGTGCTTGTGAGGCAGGCAGTGGAACCACTGAACTAAATCCCCACTCCTCTTTTTATATTTTATTTTGAAACAAGGTCTGGCTATAGGTGAAGCTTCTTTTACAGCCTGAGCTGGAATGTTTCATCCTCTGGTCTTAACCTCCCAGAATGCTGGGATTAGAAGCATGCACCACCGTGCCTGGCTCCTCTCATGATCTCTGTCTCAAGTTGAGCAGTTTGAGCTGGGCACATTAAGAGCTGGTAACCCTAGAGACCACTGACAGTGAAAGCAGCCCCAGCTGGGGCCAGGGATTTAGCTCACTGGTGCCGTGCCTGCCTGGAAAGTGCAAGGTCCTCAGTTTGAGCCCTGGTATCAAAACAACAACAACAAAACAAAAAAAAGCCAAGCAGCTCCTGCCGGGCCAGGTAACACTGAAGGCAATTAGCAGCCAAAGAACAATGGAGAACAAAGCAGAATTTTCAGGGAGCTGCCATCTTTGGTCACAAGGAGAGCTCCTAAGGGCTGCTGGGAGTTGCTGGCCCCAGCTTCTAGGACAGTGGTGGAGGCCCACTGACATTAAAAGCTGATAGTTGCTGGTTTCCAGAACTCAGGGATGTTAATGCTGGGAAGAGCTTCACTTTGCCTATTTGTGTTTCTATCTGAAGTGAGCAAAAGAACCCTCACTGTGTGATGACATTTGGTTGAACTGAAGATGCAGAACCCACAGCTGTATGGAGGGCCAACTATAAAATCGGCTGATAGATGTTTTGGAGAAGAATGAAGCAAGATACGGGACTACAATCCAGGCATGAAGGTACGTGCCTGCAATGCCAGTTCTCTGAGAAGTGAAGGCAGGAGGGTCACAAGGTTGGGCAGAATTTAGTGATTTAGCAAGACTGTCTCAAAAGAAAAAAGAAAAAGGCTGGTGATGAAGTTCAGTGTGAAGGCCCTGGGTTCAATCACCAGTACTGAAAAGAAAGAACAAAAGAAAGCCGGGCGTGGTGGCGCAGGCCTGTAATCCCAGCCCTCGGGAGGCTGAGGCAGGAGGATGGCTGTGAGTTCCAGACCAGCCTGGGCTACACAGTGAGTTCCAGGGCAGTCTCAACTACATGGTGAGACCCTGTCTTTAAACAACAAAACAAAACAAAAACAAAAACAAAAAAAAGAAAGAAAGAACAAAAGAAAGATTTCTCAGTGAAAGTGACAGTGCTCTGAAGGCACTAAGGGAAAAGCCATGTGGACGAGCGCCAGATGGAGCATTTCCAGGCAGGGAGAGCAGCAGGTGGAAAAGGCCCCGAACGGTGCCAGCAGAGGTGAGGGACCGTGGCGAACACAGGGTAGCCGGGGCCAAGCGCAAGAGTGGACAGAGAGGGCCGGGGATTTAGCTCAGCGGTTCGGTGGCCTGCCTTGCAAGTGCAAGGACCCGAGTTCGATCCCCGGTACCAAAAAACAAAGAGCGGACAGAGATGAGAATACAGGGCATGGGGGCCTGCACTCATTTAGCAGCTCAGTTAAGGGAAATGGAGAGATCATAGATGAAGTAGGTGGGATACTGTGCAGTGCCTTACAGGGTAATGATAGCCAATATGTAGTCTC